AAGGCCTCATGCTTAAAATTTTAATTTAAAAATATTTTGTACGGAAATCTTATAAAATAAAACGTGAAATGTGTGGATCGCCCGGCAAGTGAGATTTCTAAAAAAATCCGTTGGTGTGTAATAAAAAACCAAATAAAAAAAACAACGATATTATGTTATGTACAGTGGCATTATTTGGGGGAGGGGGCAAGGTGGGAATTTGCCCCTGTCTGATTAAAAAGCATCCCAAAGGGCCGGCCGTTGTCTTTTAGCCATAAGCCGTTATTTGTGAAAAGTCCAGCGTATTTTTAAATTTTTGAAAATACTGCGTACTAGATAATTATTTATTACCACAATATTTGGTAATTGCCAATTGGTATAAACTATAAATAGATACATGAAAACTTTACAAGAATATTAGATTTTTGAATGAATTTATCCATTGTTTCAGCAATTCTAGTAATGAAATCATTTTTACTTATAATATTTTCTTATCTTTTAGTCCTGATTATTTTAATTCAAAAAATCCCTATTTATTGTCTTTCTTTAATCATTACAGACATTTTAAAATTGATAATTTAATACTACAAATTGAATTGTTATCTACAAAAAACTTAAAATAATGAAGAATGAGACAATGGAATTCGTGATATTTTTTCTATTTCTAAAATTTTAAATGAACTTCCTATAGCTTTTACTGAAACTTTTGAAATTATACATATTCTTTTAACTTTGGATGTAACAACTGCTTCCAATGAACGTTTTTTTTTATTTTTTAATTAAAACCTATCTACGCGCTTGACATCATAGGCGAGCGCAGACCTCTATTTCAGGGTATGCAAAAAGCTACCACTGCCTACCCCTCCCCCCCTAAAACTGAAAGTTAATTTAAGCGTTTAAAATTCTGATCTTAACAATTATTTAATTTAAAATTTTAATTTTTTTTCCCGAAAAAAGTGACTGGAATAGCCATTTCTTAATCGTTATAACTGTCTTCATAATTAAAATTTAAAATAAATTAGGAAAAAAAAAATTAAATACGTAACCCTTGAAATGGTTTGAGTGATACGTTTAAATAGGGTAAATAAATAAAACCGTAATTATATACTTAAATGAAAAACAAAATAAATTTAATAAATAATTGAAATTAATCATAAAACGATTCTGCGTACAGTTGAGTTTTTAACATCACCAATAATATTTTCGTGATTTTAATTTATAGCCATTTCTTGTTCTGTAGTTCATAGTTATTTTATCTCACTTGAATTATTGTACTTCTTCATTTCATTAATACATCAAATTGTTATTATAGCATATGATTTGTGTTTCAAAAATTAATTAAACTGTCTGGGACTAAATATAAAAATGTAATAAAAATCATAATGCAATACAAAATCACATAATATACATAAGACCGAATATATCATAATTTTTATTTATTTTAAGTAATTTTGGAAAGAAGGCTCTATGTTTAGGATATGCAATTGCATACCCTGCATACCTGCTGCGCACGCCTATGCTTGACAATGAGAAATGATCGGCTGAGTAATTTGTTGGCTATAGCTGTTGGAAGTGATATTGCTGCAAAAATCAGTTTAGATGATGCAGTAGATGCATTTTCAAAAATGAAAAATAGAATATATCCACTTACAGCTTAGATTAATTTAGAATTAAGTTAGATTTAGCTAACCTTGTTTAGGTAATGTTTATAAAAAACAAAATTATATTTTGCAAAAATTTAAGTTTACAATAATATAATAAATAAAATATGTACCTTAAGTGTAAGTTAAAAAGTGTGAGTGAAACTCTATATTTCCCCCGGTAGTATGGGTCGGTCAAAAATGTTGCCCCCCCCCCTATCAAAAACTGAAATGACGCTACTGATTATGTATGCTTCAACGACGACCCGTTTGGCACGCCGCACCGTATGGAAGGCTGCATCCGAGTTGCAGTTAGAGACGATTTTTGAGATAAGGACATATAACAGTTGTGGTCACGCGAATTATAAGTAATATCCTAGTCGCGGTCGTATCTATACCTATAACTTATCTGTAAAGTTTATATACAAAATAAATGAAATTATACAGTCCAACAGTACAGTGGCGTACATTTAACTTTTGTATGGAGGGGGGATCAGTTGCAAACAAATTATTATATAAGGAAAATTCCTAAATTTAAGTACTTGCACATTTAAATACTAAATAATAATAATATATATATATTGATTATGTCAAAATAATAATTTACAATAAATCCTTCCAATATTTTTTTGTTTCCTTATAATTTCTATACTTCAAGAACACTATTTTATACAATTTTTAAAAGACCTATGGGGGGAACTGACCACCACATCCCCCATTGTATACGCCCCTGCAATAGTAGTATAATCACGAACCAGATGATCACCAATCAATGGTACGGCAAAAGGTTAGTAACAGTGTTAAACGTAAGGCAGTGGAGCAGTTGAGCGAGCGTCCCTCCAAAATTATTCATTCTGAGATGTCAAGTACAGTACTCAGTGTACTGGGGTCAAATGGCGTTATATTGATCAGAAAAAATATACACACTGCAAGAATGAATCTTCACCCTAAGTTGCCGCGTGAATTTTAACAATTACATTTGATGTTTCCTAACGTAATTAATAAAATGCGAACCAATAATAATGGAAATTGGATTTTTATCAACGATGTTCCCAACAATATAATATGTCTTACGAATCAGATAAACATTAATTTTTCAAAAACAATGTGATTCAATTTTTATGGACGGTACTTTTTCAAGTTGCCATTTTCCTTTTAAAAATTGTTTTATGATACATGGATATAAAAACAAAAGCATCACATACGTACCTTTGTTTTTTTCGTTATTGCCTAGTAAATTGCCTTGTAATGCGTACAAGACTGTACAAGACCACCTCAAAGGTTGTTTATCTGACTATATCCCAAATAGAGTCTTCAGTGATTTCGAACCTACACAATAAAAATAGTGTAGACAGTTCTAAGTCTGTTTATAAAAAGGAAAAGAAAATGTTGAAACTTTTTTGTAAATAAAATAGCATGGTATATACCATATATACTAGATATATATTTTGAGTGGCCATAACCAGTGGCGTATCCAGAATTTTTTTTTTTTTTTTTGAGGGAGGGTTATAAAAAATGTAACATTAAATTATTTTTGAATTTTGTGTGTTTTTATTATAATCAATAGACAATATACATACACTAAACATTTTCAGGGAGTTTATAACCCCCTAACCCCCCTGGATACGCCACTGACCGTAACTAGTATGTAACCTTTTTGTTGGGTGACCACAACTATATAGTACGTAATTTTTGATTTTGACCGCAACTAGTATACACCGGTATGGAAACCGGGATACATAGGAAATTTTAGAGATGTGTAGTTCATGAGTGAATTTTTAGTGAATTGAATGAATTAAATTAATGTATCGTAAATCAGCGACTCTGTAACTCAGTACCAACATAGAAAATCGCTAAATCAGAGACTTGACAATTCAGTACCAACACTGTATTGAAACAACTGAACTATATCTCGTATAAGCCTGTAAATGAATTGAATCCGTCAAGTCATCAATCCCAAATCTGAAATTTTCATCTTATCAATAAGTTCAGTGTTAGTTCTCTCGTAATACTGTCGCACGGTTAATACTTAAATAGATATATTATCTAAACTATCTATTAACCGTGATACTGTTGTCTATAATCTATACGTTATATTTCCTTCCTAGGATTATAAATTCTAATAATGTAATATTATATTTTTGAATTATAGATATTAACTATATTTATTACTTTAAGTAATTAAATTTCTTAGAATATTATTTTTATATGTGTATATTTTATCGTTATACATGCATACCAAACAACATTATGATGATTTGTAATTATAACTCATTTACCCTGCCACATTATAAGCTTATATAATATATTATATATTATATAATATTCTTCTTCATTGGGTGCCTATCCGATTCTGAATGTTGGCGACCATTCCAGCAATTCTCTCTCTTTGGTTTATCGTTGATTACAAATATAAATTAAATAACATTATATGCAGGGGCTCATGAAGCTTAGTTGATCTTTTAGTAGGCAATAAAAAAAATTAAATAATGGGATAAGAAATAAGATACTTAATGTAATTTCACACAATTAAGTATTCATTATTTACGAGTATTTAACTCTTATTCACCTAAGTTCATTTTATAAGTCATCTTATTAATACGTTACAGCTTAAATTTAGTTATAATTTCTATTATTCGGGGCCCTCAGCAAGATGATATTATTTTATAATTGTATTATAAAATATTATTAATGTTAAATATGATATAAAAATAAACAACAATATATTTAAATAAAAAAATTATACGGGTATTAATAATACAGATTTTTATCATTTTTTTTTATTTGGATATTTTGTCCTATATATTGGTTATTTTATCCCTGGATATTTTAACCTTGAATATTTTGACTTGGATATTTTGTCCCAATACCCTGGGCACGTACCCACGTAGTAAAGACGGAACTGATCATATGTATCCTACCTTCCCAATTTCCCCCCTACAAAAGTGGCAGTACCCGTCAACAGCGTTTATATGTGAATTTATATTTAAAATCTTAATACTCAATAAACAATCTTTTCCATTAATTAGTAAATACTAAATATTAATCTTGAAAAGTGAATTTAAGTATGATTACTGATGAAGTGATAACTGTGATAATTGATGAGTGATTATAAATCAGCTAAAAATATGTTATTTTAAAATTTTATAGATTTGATTCGATTCATTAAGATTTAGGTTCAAACCGTGACTTGGTTAAGATATGATTTGACTTATCAATAGTGAGTTGATGAAATGACTCATTTAAGTGAATTGAATCACTAAAGTGAGTCATAATTCCCATCTCTAGGAAATTTATTTTATCACATTGCTTAAATGTAATCAGTCATTACCCGATATCGCATGCAGCTATCACCGAGTCTGATTGCATGTTATCGCCTTCGGATTCGAAAAACGGATTCGGCCGCAACAACACTCGCGCTCTCGGTCCCGCGCTTCTATCTCGACGCAACCGTCACGGAGACTGATACCGCGTGTCCTCGTCCGATCCTTATCATCGTCGTCGTCGTCGTCGTTTGCTGCTGATCGGGTTTTCGAAATATTTAACGTGCACCGTTCCGCCGTTGTTGGTCGCAACGTCGTGCCGGAGGATCGCCTGGCCCGCCACGATGTGCTGCCTGGTTCCGATTGATCGTCTTACTCGCGACGCCGAATCCGCGCGAAAGTGAAACCCAATACGCAACGCGGTTGTTTTGTACACCGGCCGGAGGCATGCCGAACGCAGGAGGCGAAAACCATCCCGAGGTACGTGTGCTACGGTTGACGTTCACACACCGTTTTTCATTGCAACATTATTTCTCTCTGTCACCCGTGTTTTTCCAGCCTGAAAGAACGACGTCCAACTCGGTCATCGTCATACATCCCGGCTCGCTGTACCTGAGGATCGGCCGGGCCAGCGATGTCGCGCCGCACAAGTACATACACGGTCTGGCCCGTAGCAGTCTGCTCGGAGAGGTTGTCCGAGAAGACCGCATACTACCAACGTTTCCGTACAAAGTATGTTCCGCAAAGACTGCGCACCCGCACCGGTAACATAATTAACATCCCTGTTACTAACGCGTTTCGACGATTTGACACTGTAGAACCCCGAGACGTTGGCCATCATGGAAGAGAACAGATTGCAGGCATCTCACATGCTGCAGTCGAGTTTGCAGTCAAATGGTGACAGGAGATACGCTACGCCTCCGCAACAGATTTCCGCTTTTAACCGTAATGCTGTACCTCAGTATAAGGACACTGCGCCGCATAGCTATGCGCCCGAAGCTGACATAATCTATGGCGAAGATGTATGTCATGTTACTGTACTCATTTGTAGTAATAGTGTCTCATCGCCTGTTATTTTTCAGATTTTCAATATCGATCCTGAAAAGGTCTATAATATATTCTTTCCGATATCTAACGGAGAATTAAATGTTAATGGCCAAATTGGGGGTTCATTAACAGCTGTTCTAGGAGATCTTGAAACAATCTGGACACATTGTATCAACAAACTACTAGACATTAAGACATCAGAGTTCCACGTGAGCCCAATTGATTTTTTGACAATAGCATGTTTTTGTTATCATATTGAAGTCAAATACTACATTCTAAAGAATATTAAAAATAAACTATTACTTACTAATATAAGTATATTTTTTTGTGTTGTAGAATTACAAAGTAATCCTAATCATACCAGATATTTTTAATAGAGTCCATGTGAGAGAAATGATGTCGATGATATTATTAAGTATGAAGTTTAAAGCTTGCATTCTCATACAAGTAATACATAAATTTAAAACTACCTTTTATCTTAATCTGTATTATATAAAACTCTTACGTAATTTCATTTCATTTCAGGATCATGTTGCAGCAACTTATGGTGCTGGTTTGGGTTTTGCATGTGTTGTAGATGTTGGTCATAGTAAAACATCTGTAAGTTGTGTAGAAGATGGTATATCTCAAACGAGCACAAGAATAAGATTACGTTATGGTGGAGGTAACTTAACAAATATTCAGTATAAACTTTTTTCAAGTGATAATTTAGTATTTGGTAGTATATTAAAAATGCCATTAAAATTTTTTTGAAACCAATTTAATATTAATATACTAATTTTTATAGTATAACATGATTTACTTTTTACCGTATAAAATTCTATTGTATAAATTATCTCTCTAAGATTTTACCAAAAAAATTTAATTTTTAGCAAATATTACCCAGACGTTTCATTGGTTACTTAAAAAATGCAGTTTTCCATACCATGAATGCAATCCAATGACTAGTCATTATGATGCTATATTATTAGATAGTTTAAAACAAAAATTCTGTCATTTAAACTTGGATAAATGTGGTGCTGTTCAAAAAACAGTAACTGTAATGAAACCTGCCAAAAAACAAGTTCAATACATAATACAGGTAACAGATGTACAGTTAAGGTAATGAAATTTACAACTCAATTTATATTACATCTAATTAGGTCGGTGATGAAGCGATGATTGCAGTATTAGGAATGTTCAATCCAACATTATTAGGTATCACAGATAACAACCATTATGTGATTCAAGAAGGATCAAAGTCACTTCCTGAAGATCCTTATGATGAAGAGTTCTTGAGAGAAACTAGTGTAATATAATTTTTTATAAGAATTTAATTTCAAAATATGCCCTAATATTTTGTTATTATTTTTAGAGACGAGGAACTGGTCGTGAAATGGAAACTGAAACACAAGCTGATAATAGTATTGCCCACAACACAGAAGACGAATTATGTGTTGATCAAATTGAAACGGCAGGCAATTATTTTGAAATTGAAACAGGGCGACCGCAGAGTCTTGATAAAGTCATTGTACAAAGTATTGAACGATTAAGTAAGTTTGCACTGACTTCAAATGAAAAAAATCTTTATTTAACACCAAATTAATATTTAGATTCAGATGACATCAAACGAAAAATGTATAGCAGTATATTAGTTGTGGGTGGTGGACTTAAATTTGAAGGAGCATGTGCTTGGTTAAAAAGCAAAATATCTTTGAACGCACAACAAGTCTATTATGGAGGTAAATGTTATGCATTCGTAGAGTTAGTACAGCTTATTTATTTGGACATTTTACTTTAGGACATATTGAAATTATTAACTCACCAAAAGATTTAGACCCACAAATTGTTACATGGAAGGGTGCTGCAATACTTGCCGGTTTGGAATCATCTAACGAACTTTGGATTACTGGTAAAGAATGGTCATCCTGGAGTGTTAGGATTTTAAAAGAACGAGCCATGTTTAATTGGTGATCAAAACTAATTATCTTTGTATCCTTCCTTTGCTCATGATAAATAACCCTTCTAGTCATAAAAACAATTTTTACAGAGATATTTTCTCTCTCTAATTTGTACTTATTGTACATGTAAATTATATTTATTAATAATTTTATCTATTATTTAATTAAAGTTTAAAAGATCATATTTCTTGAAATCTGTGTTGTTCTTACAGTTTTAATTAATATTAGCAAACATTGATCAGTTTTAAGTACTCAGGTAAATTAAATCTTTCCTATTTTAATGAAAACTATATTTATTAATATAATTAATTAAGTATGTATTAGGGACGACAGAACCACTTGAACATTTCCTCCATATTCTATCCACTATGTGATTTACAAAGTGTCCTAGTATATTATTGGTACATTCAATTTTTTTTAGTTCTGTATGAAACAAAGGTTAAATAATAAATAAGGTTTGGATAAAATATTTTTTAAGAATGCTAGAGCTTCCTTCTCCTATTAGTTGGTTATAAATTAGATTATGCATAAGTATGCTTTCTTGAAAACCATTTTCCATTATGTCATAGAACTTCTAAAAACATATTTAAGTTAGTCATGATGTTAACTTGAAATTGACTTTTTTACACTTTCAAATTGTTTATTCAACTTTATATAATTTTTATTGTAATTTCTTAGTTTTTCAAGATTTTAAGAATATAAATTCAAAAATTGAGTCCTTTTGAAGAAAACTCATGACAATCATGTTTTTAATGTCTTATTATGTCTTATCCAATCATTGGGTAAGTTAGTACATTTGGCAAAACATAAGTGTATTTTGGATAGATAAATCAGTCCGGATCGAGTACCTTTAAAAATGAAAAGGGTTTCCAAATATTCTGGAACAATTGTATTTAAACTAGACCAAAAAAATGAAATACTTAGTTGAGCATAAATTTAATTTAACATACTTCAAATTATAATTAAAAATTAAAACTTTTAAATACTAGAGCTTCGTTCTATGTCCAATACCTTGTCTAGACAGTGTGTGATTATAAATTTAATTTTTGAAAATATAAAAATTATACCATACAAGTATAAAAACACTAGATTGTTATCTATCTAAATATTGAAATCTTATCACAATTGGGATCGGTGGTGGTGTATATTTAAGGAATTGCGTATAGGCAATATTTTAAGAGCGTGCGTGCCTTGTGACTGTGTGCGCAGTGAATGGTTATTAGCAGGGCTCAGGACTTTGCATATTTATTCGGGAAGTAAATAGAATAAATCTGATATGGTACAAATTTGTATTATGGTGTTTGGAGTTGAAGTTTAAAAGCTTATTGTGCATATTTTTAAGATTTATTGATTTAAACTACATATTTTAAAATAATTGTTGATAATTTACTCGTAAATCAAAAATATTAATGTAAAATTTTCATTTTTGACACGTTATAAAAATGTTATTTAGAAAACTAAACGCACTGATATATTATTCATTCTAAATCAATTTTATCTATATGAATTCGTCTGCAATAATATCGATAGGGCAATACTCAATAGCGTTATTTCACTTATTTTATTTGAGGAGCCCATTTTATTTTTAGCTCTGAAGAAAATTTTATTTTTATTTATCTGGTTTTCAAAGTATTATTTTATTTGCCAGTATTCGGTAATCGACGAACCACGGACGACGATCCTTTTCTTGTTATTGCGTTACTGCGTATTTTGCCGTGTTTGTCTTCGTGTTCGTATTTGTTTTCGTGGCTCGTGTCTGTTAATTATTAGTGCTCGTTTCGTGGTATAATTTTCTTAAATTAATAAATATGCCAAAAGAAAAACAATCACAAATTAGTCGCTTGAGAGGTTTTATTTCGGAATTTGGTATTAGTAGTAGGTATGTGCAAGATATGTTATTTTTAAATTAAATTTGTATTAGTACGTCTTTTTTAATTAAAAATGAATGCATATTTTTATATTTTATGGTGCATACCATAAATGGTATGTATACGTATATTTTTAAGATTTTAAGCACATTAAGTCCCGAGCCCTGGTTATTAGTATGTGTACGTGTCGCGCACTACACGTCTACACCATGTATTACCCGCTTTACTTCTTATCTGCTAATTGACAAATAACTACAAAAATGTATAATAATACACAATAAAAATCATTACGTATTAGGCCGCACCTACATTAGATCCGTATTTCTTCCGATCGGATCCGTCGTCGCCCGATTGTCGGAGAAAAAACAAACACCTATATTGTAATGTAAGTGCCTACACTAGTAACGGAACTTCTGATCCGACGACTCCTGGCGACTCCCGATCCGACGTCCGATCAAACGTGTTTATTTTCAGTCCGATTTTTTCACTTGTGAATTATTGAACTTTAGAAATTATTTTTTTTGTTTTTAATAATAGTATCATAAATTAATGTTAATGTATTTAATTTATTAATATATATATATTATTAATGTATTTATAGCAATATAGCTATCATTGATCCAGAATATTATTATTATACCTAATATTAGTTCCCAAATTTGTTGTAATGTCAATAAACATAGGTTATTTATAATGATACGGCATATTATGTTATCGCGTGCGGTGACGTGCCTACTACATTTTAGAATATCTAAAAGTTCATGAGGATCTATCTTCTACTATCTTCTATATTTTCCTTGGGTAGGCCCCTAGAGGGGCGCCATTTTTTTTTTTTTTTTTGCGCAGTGGCGCAAAATGTCTATTACGGCACTGTTTGTATGCATATTTTGATGGTTTTTAAGGACATGAACTTTCGGGCCCTAGTAATGATAAAAAAAATTAATTTAGTTTATTCATTTACTGTATATTTTATGCGATGTGTTTGCCAATTTACAATTGATGAAACATTTCCTCCATTTCTTTTCAATTTAGGTAACCTTGATTTTTTATTTCCCATTTTACCAAAATTATTATCAGTAAAAAAAGTCATACTTTATATAAACTATCTAAAAACGAAAACGCGTCTTAATATTTTACATTAGGGAAACAACTTTAGTAATGACGTTTTGTTTCATTCTCAAACGAACAAATTATTCAGAATATTTTATTTTATATTTCTTTATTTTTAATTCATACCAAATTATCAATATACAAATATATATATATAAGATATTTATAACTGTACAGTAACAGTACCTTGAATAGGCTATTAGTATTTCTAAGTAAACCATCGCAGACGGTGACATACGATATTTGAGATGGAATAGTGGTGGAAGAACATTTTCGCACGCGGCACGTGCCGTACAAGTCACCTCCGCACCGTCGCGCGCGTGAACAATTCAGAAAGTGTGTTTGACTAAAAACTATGTACTTTTTGGTCATCCTATCGATCAACCTAAATATGCAAAAATATTTCTGAAATCTGTTTGAATTCGTAACTATGTTTACTTGAGATCGGTTAGTCCACATTTTAAGAATTCTGAATAATTAACTTTTCAAAATATTCAAATTAAATTATAGTTTTTAAGGCCGGGGGTGAAATTGGGAAAAGTGGACTGACCGATCTCAAGTAGACACAATAACGAATTCAAATCAGTTTTCAGAAATATTTTCGTTTTATTAGGTCGATCGGTAGGATGGTCAAAAGATGAGTATGTTTTGACTAAAATAACTGCACGTCACCGATCCCCTTAATGTAAAACTTGGTTGTCTTAAAATAATACTTTATTTCTTTTACCAGTGGTCGTTTCTCTACCAATAAATGGCTATCATAAATGACAAATTAGATCAACCATTTTACTATTTGTCTATAAATAAATTTTCAACTACCAACTAGTTATTTGAAAATATATAGACGAATATCAAAATATTCTTCGAGATTGCCTACACTACACCCAAACACATGGAAGTTTGCATTGGTGTAAATTATTCTAGGGGGCAATTGCCCCCTAGAATAAATTAGGAGGGGCAGAGCCCCTTCTGACATTTAACATACCTTGTTTTAAATTAAGTACAAAACAGCTAGTTATAGCTATTACTATAACATTTTTTTTTTTTTTTATTCTTAATTTTAAACTTTCGCTTATCCAACATAATGTTAGAAAATTAATTATTTTATATAATAATATGTAGGTAGTAAAGTAGCGTTTAGCTTCAGACAGCCTTTTCGTTCGATATGAAATTATATCTTTGCCCCTCCCCCTAATAAATTTCCAAGTTATGCCTATGGATGTTTGTAATAAGTATGTTTTGTTTATTGTTATTACTAACTAAATATAAGTTAGAAAATGTTAGAATACGTCATTATACTATCTACAATATTCTGGTAGTGTAAATATTACTGCTGAAATATTAAAATATTATATTCGCATACAACTGAATCAAGATCAACAACTATTCTCAATTAATTATAGACTGACAATGACGATTGAAGATAAACTTAAGAAGTTAAAAAACCCAAATGACACTTGAAAAACAACAAAAAAATAGTTATAAATACATAAATATAAGTATAATTTATCAACGTGACTGGTAAAAAATTCTTTTTGGTATTCAATTTCTATCAGTAATAAATTGAATCCTAAAGAGTGAGTATCTCTATATATTTCATTTTAAAAAATTGATGTATATCCAATTTTATCTATTCAAATGTATTCGTGAATTCATTTTAATTAATACCCACATCAAAACTCAATACTTACAAATCTAATTGGCAGTTAAAATTAATACATAACAAAGGAAATAATGCAATAACATTAACAATTATTTACTTTTAAAATTTTTAAAAGTCTACAATTTTATTTTATAATTTTTTACAATTTAAAAATAACATTTTACTTACATAAATTGTAAACAATAAGATAATCAACAAGCCCTATAGTATTTTGATACAAAATTAAATGTAATACAAGATTATAATTTTAAAAATAAAACAAAAAATATTGATGCTTAAATGTGTATTTGTACATAATATACCGTAAGTCTTAAATAATAGTTACTATAAATAATATAAATTTCCAAGGACAATGGAAAAAAAAACATTAAAAATATTTATCTTGTTCACTGAAACACTTATGTTACTGAAAGTGATTTGCACCAAATGTTAATGGTATGAAATTATTAGAAATATTTCTACATAATGGTAATATAAATATTAAGTTTTCATTATAATACTAAATTGGAATTAATATGTAACATTTAAAATGTATTATAAATGTATAAATAAAATTTAAAGAATAAGCAATTATGGAAACAAACAAAAATCACTTATGTTATAACATTGTATAGTTCCACTGTCCTTAATAAGAAAATTGGTCACACTAATTGCTTCAAGTATTTATATAATTTAAAATATTTGTATAAAACTCAACTTACCTCATGTCTAATTTGAATAATTGGCATGTAATATTTGTACATGCAAGATCACGGCTTCTAAAAAATCAACATAAATTAGTAGCAATTGTGAAGTGATTACGATTAGATAGTAGCATAAATGAACGTATAATTCCAACTCAAAAGAGATCAAAATTTAAAAGTTTAACCGAGAAAGTTTTTTTTTTTTTTTTTTAATTTAAGAAATAATTAATTCATAATTTATGTTTAGTGTACCAACCTTTTATTTTCAATTAATAAAATCATTTACGCCACAGATATGTAAGCACATAACTTTTTCTATGGTAACATCGTGCGTATTGACACATGTTTAGATGGGACCATATCTTGAAAAAGCTGAAATTGTTCAAAATAACCATTATCTAATAATGAGAATATAATCATTTGGTTCTATACATTTTGGGAGACCACTGTTCCAAGGTATTAAAATTATTTTATATTTTATCAAATTATAATATAATTTAAACAGCAGTTTCCCAAAACTATATGTACAACATTAAACTATAAGCAAAAAAGCATGACCAATTTTCTGTATTCAAATAGTTTATCTTATTCTTATAAACTAAATAAAATGCTGAATTAGTAACATCACTAATTAACATTTGATTGGTAAAATAATTCTACTGAACAAAAATAATTATTATTACTTTCATAATATGTAGACATTTTCAATTAAAAAAATTAAAATAGAAATATTTTCACATTATTTTACATAATATATAAAAAAATCAAATTAGTGGTGCAAATGGATCATCATAAAATCTGGCAGAGCACTCATCACAAAACTCAACAGATACTCTTCTATTAGAAACGTGTAAGCATACACCTACCTCAGTGGTCGACGGGTTGATACCATTGTACCATGCCCTGTCTTCATCGTCTTGAAGAGGTTCTTCTATAGGATGACAGTTGTTGTCTACTCTATCCTCTAACAAATCAAAAGAACCATCAAACAGACTAGAGCTCGTGGTTATAGGAAAGTAGTCAATACTCGTCTCAGAGTTTAACTCGTTTAAAGTCTTGTCGACATTACTACCTTGTGGTACGATGTTCCTCCAACGTATGTTGCGTAACAGACTGCCAATCTGATGGCTGTTGGCAATCATGCCACGTAAGTAGGCCACCTGTCGACGACTGCTTGCCCACTTCTTTTCGCGTTCCCTCAACTCCCTCTTGGTGGCCCTCATCTCGCGCTTCAACCTAGACATCTTCTGTTCCAGGTCCTTAACGTACTGCTTCTGTTTTATGCGGTTCATACGCGCTGCCACAGCGTTCTTACTGTTGCTGGTCGGCATGCGACGGGGTCGGCTGCTGGTGCCACGACGCTTCTGATCGGAATCCGAATCGTCAGAAAATTCGTACTTGGGCGACGGCGATCCGCCGCTGGACGAACCGGAAGACCGGGACATGGACATCAGGGGTAGGACGTGCAACGGCTCTTCACAAACGGACAACGATACGTGTTTGACAGAGCAGTGTGATGTCATTCGTTATACGTATTACAATGAATTACTTACTGTAGAGGGTGTAGAGCGACGAACGATGTCCCAACACCGGGTTGGAAAGGCACTCGGAAACGTTCGAAAAAAACGAGGTATACAGTACGAACCAGGAAAGACGCTTAGATTCGCCGAGAACAATCGAAAATCACTGGGACAAAATATAATGTAAAGCGTACAGCCATCCGTTAAATCGGTTCGGAGTCTATACATCGATACACGAAGTGGAGAAGATTCGGCGCGGAACGACGGGATTCCTCGCTATTGTTCAGGTCGGAAAACGTTTTCGGTCGTAGGTTAGACGAGCACGGCGAAATCGATAGGTGTTACCGTGAGACGGGATTTTTTTTTTCGCGGTCGACTGATCGCTTCACCGTCGTACGCAAACGCCGTTCGGACTTGCGACGACGTTGCCGAAGTGTTTCGATCTCCTCGCCCGGACACCTGCGTCGGTGGCACTGGGAACGACCAACGTTGTCGACACTGATTGCGTGTGGCCGCCGTTGCTCGACAAAACGTAAACAGACGTGAGTACCCCTATCAAAATGTGAGCTGATATTGAAAATTGAAATCCGAACATTCGCCGTCGTCTCGATCCCATCAAGTTCTGTTACAAGGGATCCCGTCCCTCACCACTCTCGTGACCGATTCGAATCTATTTTTATTTCAGTTTTACTTTTTTGCATCGTTTTCACTAGTTATCGATTACGTACGAACACGTACCTTCGTCCGACGGCGCCCGAGTGTGTTCGGTTTTACCGATTTCCATTTCCATTTGTCTCCAAACAAGCCAGTCACCCCGGAACCTGTGCAGACCATGGCCACTTTCAGCAAAGGTGAGAATTCTCTCTCGGCAGAGAAACGTGTTTGAACGAATACGTGTGCACTCTGTCTTGTAGGTACCGTTTCCACACGATTCCCGGACATATGTTCCCTTCGTATTGGACGTTCGGTTAAACAATACTCACCGATTGTTATTAATTTAAAAAAAAAAATAATGGAAACATTATGGCGAACAAAATTGGAAACGCGTGCAATTTTGTGATTACACCGATAATTTCTCGAGGCATTGTATTGCCTTCCCTGCTAAGAATAAATTATGTATTTTGAGAAAAAAAAATAATTAAAACGAGATTATATTTTTTTACGTTTAATGTAATAGTTGTACGTGTTTTGCGTCATAAAAAAATGGCATTAATCTGGTTATTTATCCAAGAAAAAAATATTACTACTTTTCAAATTAAAAATGATTGGTGCTTGTCATAAAAAAAAGTCACTAGTTGTAATTTGCTAAAAAAGATTGCTCTATGTTTTTATTTCAAATCAGACATTTTTACTTATCACTAAAGAGCGAATTTAATTGATATTGCAACTTTTTATTGATACCCAGTAAATCAAATCTGATCAAATATATATCAGAATCAGATTAATTACTTCTTATTTAATCTTCCTATTTAATTTAATAATGCAATTTTTGTATACTTCACGTGATAAAATATACAAATTATTATTTCCAAAGTGATTTTACATAAAAAATATAACTACGTCGTAAATTTTTTACAAATAGTTAAATGTAATTAAGGATTTTTAAAATTATATTTATCTGAGTTATCCTCAAAACTCACAAGTTTAGAAGAATCAAATAGTCAATTACTTACAAGTTTAAACATATTTAGTATAAATATTCCCAGTCCCAATGAAAAAAATAATTAAAGATAAATTAAAATATGTCTTAGAAAAAAATTAAGGGTATAAAACTATTAAAATTTACTCTGAGATTATAACAGAAAATCAAAATGTTTATTTAGATACATCACCCAATTTTTTAAACCATTTTAAATATGCATCGATAACAAGTGTCGATGTTAAACGTACTTTTTCATTATATAAAAATATTTTAAGTAACAGATGATACAATTTTCAAGAACACAATTTAGTGATGTATATAATTATAAATTTTAATTCAGAAAAATGATATATTTTGTAAATATTATATTGATGTCCTTATTATTATTTAAATAAGTAATTAATGATTATATATTTGATATGATTTTACTATGTTATTTTAATATATTTCATTGCAATTTTAGCATCTTTTTAGTGCAATTTTAACATATTTTTAAAGCAATTATATCCGGTCTTTACTTATCACTTATAATCTAAATTTACAGCATTGTTATGTAGAAAACTGGTTGTTTATACCTAATAATTTAAATCATAATAAATGTAAACTTTTCATTGAGTTAAAATACATTTTTCACTTAATATTTTTTTATTACTTATTATTTGTTAGGTATCTGGATTTATATTATTTTCCTCTTCAACATTTCTTTAAAAAGCTATGTAAATAATATTTAATAAAATTATTTGTTATTTAAATTACTATAGTTTAAAATATGTATTTGGTTAATGTTGATTAAGACCCATTATTGATTGAAATGTTTTTAAACTTAACAGTCATGATACACTCATCTAAACCAAAATGAGTAAATTATAGTGTAACAATTACTCAACTCCATTTACTATATCCATTTCACTTTATTTTTCAGATTGGTGGATTAAGTTTTTCTCGGATGCTGGCATACCTTCATTTGCATCATCTAAGTATGCCACAATATTTTATGAGAATCGAATTCAATCTAATATGTTAATGGACTTGGACAAAGATATTCTAAAAGAAATGGGCATTACAGTAATTGGTGATATAATAGGAATACTGAAACATGCTAAAGATGTTTATAGAGAAGTAATTATTAATTTAATCTATAAATTTATTATAAAGTATTGAAAAATAAATGTAGGTTATTTTTAGGGATTTTATGACAATTATCAAACTAATGGTGGTGAAAATTCAACCACCAAAAAAAATGTCAATGAAACTCCTGAACCTACACCTCAAAAAAAAAAAAATTGGTATGTAACTAAATAAATATAAATTTAATTCAAATTTTATTATTTATTTTTTATTTATTTTTTTGTAACTAGTAAAATAAAAAAATTAGTACCCAAAAAAGTTAAAGTTTCTAGTGAAAGCGAAGAAGATGAAGAAACAATAGTAAGACAAGTGAAAAGAAAGACTGCTACTCAACCATCTCAAAATGCAATAAAAATTATCACTAAGAAGGTAATTTCAAAGCCTAAAATCCCACTAAAAGTCAAACCTGTTGTTGTGGAAAGTGATGATGATTCTCCACCGCCATCTGAGATGCGAACTAAGAGTTCAGTTTTTGACCGTTTGGGTGTTGGTGATGTTAGCAGTACTACTCCAAATGTTGATAGTAATAATTCATCAACTACAGAATCGAGAAAAGTAATTGGAGATACATATATTTATTTTCAAATTGAGTAACTATTTTATTATTTTAATTAGTCTTCTGTATTTAAACGCCTTGGAATAAAACAGCCTAGTGAATCTACTAGTAAAATATCATTAAAACGAACTATTAAAGGAAGAAGTGATTCATATTATGGACCTAATATTCCATCCGAAGAAACTAGTGCTTTCACAAAGAGAGTAAAACTAGAAGAAACAAGTATGTATTTTTAATAAAATTAACATTTTTATATAGGGAAACTCGCATTTCTATTGAATTTAAACAATTGGAACTTAATTAATATCTAATAATAACAAATGATAATAATTAATAATATAATAAAGTAATTAAGTAATTTAGTCTAATTGAGTTTTTATTTCATACAGTTCTGTATCAGATATTTTGATAATTTTTTTTCTCTAATTCTTCAAATCATATTTTATTCGAATTTCCACTTTTCTGTAATACTTAAGATTCATTTAAACCAATATTTTTCTTTTATGTCAGTCATTTTGAATTTAAATGATTTTTATTTTATATAGCAATTTAATTTTACTTAAATTTTTGTACATGTTATAATTTATATTTATTGTTTATAGATCATATTTATATTTTAATGATTAATAAATGTCTACTGTATCTACTTTTTAGATTTGCACTCTTCAAAATCCGTGTTTGAACGTATTGGTGCATCTTGTGATCGTGAAAAGATTGGTCCTGGTCTTGTTTCCAAAAGTGGTAAGTTAAAATTATGTTATTTTTTTGTCTTTCTATATATCTACTATAAATTAAGAACAATTAATACCTTAACTACACTCGTTCATATTTTCCTATTTGATTTCATCTATTTTTTATCAATATTCACATTTATGAAGGTTCTTAATTATATTTATCCAAGGTATTCTTAGCTGGCTTCTTAGCATTTTTTTTTTTTTTTTTTTTTTTTTATAATATCCCTATTGTAGATGTTACCATGACTTGATAATCTACCATCTTCTCAGTCAATAAGTTCTAACATAAAGCTTATTGTACATTTTCTACACCCTTTGATTGTCCATTTAAGCATAACTTTCCAATTTTAGACAGTATATCATTCTTATCACTTTCCTTTCAAATATTAAAAAAAAAAAAGAACTCCATTTCCATTTGTAATCTACCAAATTTCTTAGTATGCCCATAAAAAACTTTAGTATAGGATTTTCTTTAAATTTCAAAATATAATTTAGATTTAAATAGCTTTCTCAAGGTATAAAAATAATCTATATTGGCTAAATTTATTTTTATTTCATTATGGCATATTATTACTTGGGTTCTGATTTTTATGCGCTTAATATTATTATAATTTGTATTTATGCACTAAAAAATGCACAAAAATAAAAATAGTGTAATTTGATTCAGTAAATTATGAATCAAATTTGTATCCAGGTCTGAATTAAGTTGGATCAATAGAAAAAAATACGCAATTTCATAATCATACAAATCCAAGTTTTTACAATAATTATTAATTTTTCTAATTATAACTTGTATTTTAAAATGTTGAACTGTAGTTTTATTGATTAAGAAAAAAGTATTACTTTTAGTAAAAAAGATAAGCTAAATATTCTTTAATAAGTAATTTTTTTTTCAGCTCTTATAAGAAATGCTAGCTCAGGTGGAAGACCAATTTATGTTAATCCAAAGGTAATTAGATAATTTTTGTTGTACTAGACTCTCATTGTTTCATTAACTAAGAATTAAAAAAATTTAACATTCTGGAAAGTTTGTTAAAAAAAAAAAAAAAAAACATTAAATTAATAGTTTTTGACATAATGATGGTCTATTAAAAATGTTTAATTCTTCAAGTGAAATATTATTTTAGTCTTTAATACTGGCTGTATCATAATTGTACATTATACATTTTATAATTCTAATAAACAAAAAAATGTAATTTTTGAATGATCCTGTGTTGTTAATACTAAATTTAAAATTTTATTTTTCCAATTCAGAAGTAAAAGGTAGCATAAATTAAAATTATTAGTAAGGATAAAAAGAAAAATTGAGATATTTTATGAAAGAGTTAGGGTTAATCTTTAGTAATATAATTTAAGTCAAAGATTTATTGATATAAAGGAATCATTTAACATAATGGATAATTTAATGAGTTGTACCAAATAGAAATTGTTGTCTTAGGTTAGAGCAGTGGTTTCCAACCGGTATGCCGCGGCACACTGGTGTGCTGCAAGTGCCCCTTAAATATGCCGCGATTAATCTATAAATTGTTTTATAAGTATGTATTTACCAATTTATTATTGATATTCGAGATGAAAACTGATCGAACTAATCGTAGATACATATACTCGTAATATTATTTATTGTAATTATACCCATCGCGGTCAATCGATTGTATTAATATATTTTACAATAAATAATCCTCTAATAGAGTAGACTGTAAATAATATACATACATACATACATACAAATTTATATATATATATAATATGGTTCACATAATATATGGATTGGTGTTCCGCAAACATTTTGTTGGAGATGAAGTGTGCCACATTGTTAAAAAGGTTGAAAACCACTGGGTTAGAGTAAGATACAATAAGGACTCAAGATAAATTTATGGTATGAACCAAAAAGAATAAAACCTTAAAACCAACAAAATAAATAAATTAATTCATTATTGTGTAATTTGTATTTTATGTAAATGATGAAATTGAAGGATTATTTCATTATATTTTTAAATTAAATTATAATTTTACTTTAATTTTTTTTTCAGGTTTTGAATGTTAAAAAGTTGAGCCTGTTAAATCATTCACATTTTAGAAGTTCTGATTTAGAATAATAACAAATAATGTTATAAACTACCAATTTATTCTCCACTTGAATATAGTAATTATATTTTCATATTAATAATCATTAACATATTAAAAAAAAAAAAAACAAATATGGCTTTATTATTTGTGTTATTATAAATCTAATAATAATTTAAGAATTTATAAATTTAAATTTATAATTGTTTCCAGTTGGTTAACACCATTAAAATTTATTTTTCAAACCAGCTTTTCAGTGACCCACTACCTTAAAATGTAAAAACTATTAAACAATATAAATTTGTATTTAACACATAAAAATGATTTGGTTATTCTTTTTATTTATATTTGAATCATATAATTGATGTGTTACTATAATAAAATAGCTTTGTTAATTACTTTGTAAAATTATTCGAAAAGCTTGAATATATATATATATATATATTTCATGTTATTTTAAGTTTAGTTGATAAATAAATATTTTATTTAATATCTTTTGATTGCGCTAATATAAAGTATGAACATTTTTTAATACTTTTACTACAATTAATTTAGTTTTGTACAATTTACTATTGGATTTTGAAACTAAAAATTAATTAAATTAAATACAGTTACTCATTTTATCTGTGCATTGTTGTATATATTTTATTCGTGTATAACTCATTATTTACAAATTAACAATATTTTAGTTTTAGAGTACCTAAAAGATTATCAAAATCTAAAAGATTATCAAAATCATTAAAATACTTTTTTTTAAAGTTTAAGTTATTATTTTTGAGTTGAAAATTAATTCAAATTGATTATATATTTTGTTTTAAATTGTCGCAATGATGAAAGTTACTTTACACTATAAATATTTATTATGTACTTTATTATCACCATCCTACTATTTGGGTACATATTGAGTCAATCCGGCACCATGAGATTTCAAATATGGTATACATGTATATGCATAGATGTCCCAAAAGGGAAGCAAATGGGACAAATGCTCTAAGGCCAGTGCCATGTTAACCTATGTAGCCGCCCCAGGGGAAATTAAAATATGCTGCCCTTAAAAAAATTACAGTTCAAAATTATACAACCCCACGCTATTAATTACAGTCAGCAATGTATTAACGGGTAGTATAGAAGTGTACTATGCAAGAGCAATACATTTACTAATTATTAATATCTGTATTATGTATCTTTAAAATTACACATTATTACTTGTTTTTAAATTGGATAGTTATTTGACCTCTGTATAAATTTAAAAAAATTACCAAGTAACAAAATATAATCAGTTAGAACAAGTTCTTAATTCTTATTACTTTGTAACATGCGGCTTTTTCATGGTATTTATGAATGAAATAATATGTTTTATAGTTATACAGTCATACAAGAAAAATTATAATTTTATATTTTTTATGTCCGGACTCCCGATTGAAATGTCTACATATTCAATGGTTTAATAGTAAATATTATATAGCAGAGGTGGCGAACCTGTGGCACGCGCAAAAAATTTAAATTGTACAAAAAAAAATTGTACTATTTATAAAATGATGGTAGTAAAAAATTCAAATAAACAAATTATATATGTTTTAAAAATAATAATATTTCTTATGCTTTCATATTATCAATCGCCCGGGTCACCCATAGCTTGCGCCGGCCCTGCATTTACAACCATAACCGAGGTATTTATCCATTGGCGGTGACAGGGACGGGCCGGATAAGGCCATGGCCCTACCATTGACCTGACCTTAGACATAATAATATAGTAATTTTTCATAAGCAGAAAATATTAAATAATGGTATTTATCTTTTGTTAAAATATCATTTTTGGTAGCCCTACCTTATAATTGTTGGCCTCCCGTTGGCCCTACCTAGCAAAAAAATCCTGGTGTCGCCACTGGCTAAAAGCCCCTAATCCAAATAATAATCGGTACTTTTCTATTATTCTTACTACCGCGAGTACTCAATTCTGTTATCTCGACTATTATAGTACTATCCAGATCCGTATTTTAATACATAATACACGTCATGAATTGCCATTTATATTATAATGTATATTATAGCGTTTTCCATCTATGTATTTCATTAATTACACTACACTTGTGTAGTGATATCACACCCCACGGGTGTACCTAACTAATTTGATAACATGTTCAATTTACACTGGTCAGTCGAATGCTGTTAAAAATACCATTTCAAATTTGGTTTATTCTAAATAGATATTGTTTTTAATTATGATTCTTTCATGGTTTAATGTTATACGTATCATTTAAAACCTTAATGTTAGTTGCAGTTCGTGCCTTACAGACATTAGTATCAATAGGTTTACGGGGGGCAGAAGTGCAGACATTTTTCCAAAGCTCTTAATTCAAAACATTTAACATCAACATAGATAGAGTATATTGTTAATAAAAAAATGAAAAAACTGAGAAACTGCACGTATGAACTGGATGACTGGTTACGTCTGAAGTGTTGGTGCTGACAGGGGCGGATCCAGATTAGGGAAACTGTGAGTCAAGCCATTTCAAGAGGTCATTTATTAGGGATGAAACTGAATTAGAAATGAATACCTTGAAAAAAAAACAATATGCTCATAAAAGTGTATAAGTATATTTATATTACATTTTAAAATAAGTGATACCACCGATAATGACTTATTTACGATTAATAAATATAATCTAATTTTATCAGCACAACAAACGTACGGAATAAAATATGATTTACTTAACTTTCAACTAAAACGATGTAATTTAAAATATTATAAATTATTAATTGAAATTTTCAAGTAACTCCGATGGGCCAAGAGGCCAATTCTATCAACAAATATTAACTGTGGGTCAGCTAACCCCCTGACCCCCCCCCCCTAGATCCGCCCCTGGGTGCTGAACCGGAGCCCTTATATCCACTTATATCATGTTATTATATTATTACATTATTATTATTATGTTTTTTTTCGTTGATCTATAATTTATATGTATATTTGCTCGTGGCTTTCTTCTCATTACTACGATTTGATTGCTTCACAATTCGGTTATGGTCGCTTTTAAGTTTTATTATGAATATAAAGTAACCAACAAATACGTATAAATAAATATTTTGATACATGGAATATTACAGTACTTCTTTAGTCGATAAAAGTTTAAGTATAACGTCTGGTTTAGTGCTGCAACTACCACCTGATGGGCCTTAAAATATTTATGTCGAGGGCCTCGGATTTTATTGTAAATTTCATAAAAATTGAAAAATTAAATATAAACATGTAATAATTTTGATTTTTAGTAAACATTTTTTTTTTTGTATTACATTATAAAGAATTTTCACTACATAAAATATAACATCAAAAACAATTATAATTGCTTATCAGCAGTGACGTGGCGATGTGGGTAATCGAGATGCAGCCACCTCTCAGTTTTTTCGGAAAATGAGTGGATATCGACAAAATATTCTTGCCTCTGAAAATTGTTGAGTTCGCCACGCCACTGGGTAGAACACAATTTGGAGAACGTAAAGTGGATAACAGATAAAATTTAAAAACGGAAATAATATTATGTAAAAGTGTATTGTATACGTGCGCGGGAACAATATATTAAATTAAATATGGGGTCAAAGTGGTTATAGATAATTTAGGATTGGCGTTACGAGTGACGTTAATGGACTTATAATTGTTTTGTGTTCATCGAGTAATTCAGTAACTATTTAAATGTGCGACAATGTAACTGTTTGGGTATGATATCGGCGTAAGTTCGTCCGTGGGTGTGAGGTTGCGTGGAGAAAATTCCAATAGGAGAAATCTGCAGGATCCGCTTTGCCGTAAATAGTTTGTGAGCAGCGGAGTGGATTTTCTTGAAAACTGGGCATCCTTTATGAGAAGCATTTTGGAACTCAGAACATTGGGCGAATCCAACTGGGGATAGTGCGTTCCACAGATGGGTGATCTTTGCTGCACTTAAATTTAAAATAAAATAAACGCAACAGGACTCGCAGTAATTTCGTCCGTGTCCACAAGATCGACAACTACGACACTGAGGTGATTACCATGGTTCACTTTAAATATTTTCTCAGTTGAGATGGTTGTGTGCAATGTGTTAGAAATATCGAAGATCTCGTTGTTGTTTGTATCTGCGCGAAGACTCACTGAATATGTTGACAAAGGCATTTTATTCTTTGTGAACTTTGTTATGGTTACTCACTCGTGTACTCGTATTTCGCAATGATAATGACGTTTAAATAAAACGCTTGTGCCGTCTTGTGAGTTCATTCGAGGTAGAATACATCGGTTGCAAATAGGCGAGAATAGAACCGGAGACGCTACGGGTGGGCCACCGTCCACTTTTTCAACGCGACTCCGATGAGCGAATATTCGTCTGCCGTGGACGTCCCATCTCTGTTGTACAACATGTGAACGAGAATAGTTTTTTACTATTTTATTTAAATGCGTTTTGAAAATAGACGATTTAAGTTGCAATATTAAAGTGTAGTGGGTTCTAGACATTTCACCGTCTCGGAAACAATAAAATAATATATTATTATAATAGTCAATAATATTTAATTATAAAAACAATATGTATTTATTCAATACAATTATTGTATTCCAATAGACGTTATGCTAATCATTTTCACAGAGTTTCATCTAAAATCATTTTTTTAATGTATTTTGAGTTGCGTTCAAATGTGAAAAAGCGTCACGATAATGTGGTTAAGATTTTTTTTTTTTTTTAAATACATTTATATACAATTAAAAAGGGAAACATTCGACTTTTTGATTTCAAAATAGTTTTACAAATATATGTACAAGTACAGAAATTTAAAACTTTATACGATACGAAATGTACTTCCACATCAGTCCCCGAAGAGAATTATATTAATTTGTGCTTAAAACTGGTAACTTTAGTTGTACCTATGTGTTTAATATATTAAAAACTAATAATTATCGTTTACCACTTCTTCATACGAACAATTTATTTTATAATTGGATTTTTTTATTTAAACTTTGTGGGTACAATTAGTTTCGACAATTACTATTAAAAATACAATTACAAATTACAAAATACAATTACAGTTTACAGTTACAATTACCATAGAAACAGTACAGTATAAGATTGATTAAAAAGCCTGAATGGTTAAAGAAAGATATTAAATTTATTATGAT